CTTATGGATAAATGTATCAGGAATGTTTGAGGTGTGTCAGTTTGGGACATGAATGCTGTTGTTGGCTGAAAACCTGAATGATATTCAGGAAATGTTAGATTGTGGGATGCAATGAGACATCTACTACTAGACAAATACTAGACACATACTACTACTAAAACTATTGTATCTGTAACCTTTAACTGGATGAAGCAGGTACATCAGAGGGCAAAATGTTTTCACTCAAGTTTGAGTTTTAGCTCAAATGGGTTAACTCACAGAATGTAGCCAAAATCCAGGACCCATGAGGGTTGTATGCATGTGTGCAAGCACAGGGAGGGCAACGAAAGGAGGCATAGAGTGCATGTGAGCAAAGAAGAAAGCAAGGCATAGTAGTGCATGCAAGGAAAGAAAGGCCGGGGGTGGGGAAGACTTACCCAAGTGACTTGCAACCTTTCCCGCCTGCTTCCCCATTAACCATGTTTATAGGAAACCATCATGAAAGATCACAAATGGTAATCACGTGACTGCAGCACTTTTGCAGCTGGTCATATGTATGAACTATTTGCCAAGCATTCGAATATTATTCACATGACTATGTGAGTGGGGGCCTTGCAGCAGCCAGAACTTTGAGAACCAGTTGCAAGTTCCTTCATTCAGCACTGTTACTGCATGTGCGGTCGTAACTCAAGGGCTATCTGTAGGTTGAACAGAAGGAGAAAATCAATAAAGTTTTGGTTAGAATAGAGCTGATGAAATTCTCAGAAAGTTGTAAAAAGGTTGAACTACCAAAGACCAAATATGATGCTGTGTATGAATATGTTAGAAGCAAATATAGTTTTATAAGGATTGAAGGAGGAATATAAATGTATTGAATGAAACCAGTTTGGTATAATGGTTAAAGCGCCATGCTAGAGACCATGAGTTGTAATCCAAACTTAGGCACAAACCAGCTGAGTGACTGTGGGCCAGTCCTTCTTTCCCAGCCCTAGGAAGGAGGCAATAGCAAACAAACAGCTTTCAAAAATATTGGCAAGAAAACAGCAGGGACCTGTCTAGGCAGTTAGTTGCCAGAAGCCAATACAAAAAAGAGTGAATAGTTTTGAAGTAAATCATGTTTAGTTATATTTCCTTTTCTTTTGCTTATCTCATGCATGGTCTGGTTTTATTCCTTTCAGTGATTTCCATAATATTGCTTTATCTCTTGTAAATGGATATAATGGGTATATGTAGAATTATATTATGCAAATCTAAGCTAACCTTGGCTAAGCCATTACTTTAGTCAGCTCCCTTCTCTCTGAAACCTAATGAGATCCACATGCTGAAACAAAGTTGCATATGAAATGTAACATTTCTTACACATTTGAGAAATATTTGTTTCCAACTCAATGGAATGTTGGAAAGAAATTGTGGAAAGTTGCTTGGGACTGTGTCTGGCTGTAGACAGGATAACTCTCCAGAAACTGAGAAGAAAGGGAGCAAGTTTGATGTGTCAGGATAAATTGATAAAAGAAAAAATGAATTTGAAAGTGAGCCATGGTGGGGCGGGGAATCACTAAAAAGCCCAGTGTATTCCTATGGGAAAGACAACCAGCAGTCATTCAGAATATTGCTGGCCAATCCACTCCCTCCTTCCATTTCCCTCCTGGTCATGTGGCCCAGAGCAGAGCATGTAGCCAACCCTGTGCTTCCCAGGGCATATACACACACATAAAACACAGATAGACGTAACATTAGAGAAGAGCAGAAACACGTATGTATATACTCTCTCCCTCCCTCCCTCTTTCTCTCTCTCCCTCCCTGCCTCCCTCCCTCCCCTCAGGCAACATCTTACTTTCTAACTTACAATTAAAACTAATTTACCAACAACAGTAGGGACTGGCGACTCCATTACTAAGCAGTATGATTGTTAAGCGCAACAATAAACTTGCAACTTCCTGTCAGCTTGCCCATTGGTTTTGTTGGAATCTGACTGTGAGGTTATAAATGGTGGTCTGATCACAGGAGGGCAGGATGGTGCAACTGTCATAAATGCATGCCAGTTGCTGAAGCACCCAACAATTTTGAGGATTAATCCTAAGTCTTGTTTTTAGTGCTGCCATAACTTTGAATGGTTGCTGAACAAGTATTCAGTAAGCAAAGACTACCGTGTTTCTCATGAAATAAGACCGGGTCTTATATTTTTTTAAGCCCCGAAAAAATGTCTAGGTTGTCTTTTCGGGGGTGACTTAATTCCCCCCCTTGCATCCTCATCTAGAGTGCCCCGCAGGCAGCCTCACCACCAGCCGCTCCTAACGGGTGATCATGGCGAAGCGCAGAGAGTCCCTACTCCCACCAAACACCTTTGCTGCAGACCCAAGACCTTTGGCACCCGCCGCTGTTGCTTTCCCTTCTACCCATTCCGCTGTCACGTTTGGAGCTGCTGCTTCCGTGTTTGGAGTGCCACTGCCATTTGGAGTGCCTCCGCCATTTGGAGCACCGCCGTCAAGTTTGGAGCTGCCACTTCCACATTTGGACCTGCTGCCATGTTTGGAATGGAAGCGGCAGCTCCAAACGCGGCGGCAGCTCCAAATGCGGACATGGCAACTCCAAACAGCGGCAGCTCCAAACGCGGCGGCAGCTCCAAATGCAGAAGCAGCAGCTCCAAACAGCAGCAGTGCTCCAAACAGCAGCAGCACTCCAAATGTGGAAGCGGCAGCTCCAAATGCAGCAGCAGCTCCAAATGCAGAAGTGGCAGCTCCAAATGGCAGTGGTGCTCCAAACAGCAGTGGTGCTCCAAACGTGGAAGTGGCAGCTCCAAATGCAGTGGCAGCTCCAAATGGCAGCAGTGCTCCAAACAGCAGTGGTGCTCCAAACGTGGAAGTGGCAGCTCCAAACGCGGCGGCGGCATGGGCAGAAGGGAAATCAACAGCGGCAGGCGCTAAAGGTCTTGGGTCTGCTGCAAAGGTGCTTGGCAGGTGTAGGGAGCTCTCTGCGCTCTGCCATGATCGCCCATTAGGAGCAGCTGGTGCCCGCGGGGCGCTCCTAACGGCAAGTCCCCCTGCCCTTCCCCCCATTTTGCATGTTTTAAAATAGGCCTAAATTTGGGGGGAGGGGCTTAATTTCATTTTATGCCTAGAAAACATGCTGGGTCTTCCTATTGGGGGAGGTCGTATTGTTGGAGAAACACGGTACCTGTAGTAGCATCTTCTATGATTTGCTAGTCAAAGAATAGAAAAGAATTTCATAAGCAATGCTTTGTGTGGTTTCTATATTCAAAATAAAAAGATAATTTAAAAAGTAATATATCCAAAGTTAATCAAATTCTTACAATTAGTTCTCATTTAATGATCACTCATTCAGTGACCATTCAAACTTACAACTGCACTGTATGAGTGGTCGTTAGACCAGACCTCATACTTATAGCCATTGCTGCATCACCCACAATCACATAATAGCAATTTGTGACTTTCCCTGCTGATTTCCCAGATCCAAAGTCAGTGGGGATGCCAGCAGGAAGTCAGAAGTCTCAAGTCGTGTGAGCCACTCACTTAATGACCTGTACAGTCCTTGTTTAATGAAGAAAACAGAATTGCTGTCACTAAGCAGTGTGGCTACATGGATTTTCTATAGAGTTTCCAGTCCCAATTAGTGTTGTTAATATGTTAAAACACAACATATTTATGATAGTATACAAAATTATCTGGTAATTATTTACATAAATAAGGGTGTTTAAGAATATATTTCTACAGAATAAAAGTACTTCAAAAATGGTTCATATAACTCTTGCCCACTTTTTTCTGAAAATATTGTTATGGTTCTGGAAATAAATACTGTTCTCTGCACCTGATATATATAAAGAATATACAGGGGTGGAAGCCTACCGGCATAACAACCGGTTCAGTGTGCATGCATGCCAAACGTGCGCTGGGTGCACATGCGCAGTACTTGCAAAACAACTCCTGCAATCAGTCACCATCTCCTGCTGACATGCGGCACTCAGCTGTGCCATGCAAAGCAACTAAGGTAAGAGTAAAAGACAGCCTAGAAAAGAAAATCTTCAGAGAGAACTGGTTCGGTGTCAGCTGCTCTTCAGAGCTACCAGTTCTATAGAACCAGAGCAAACCGGCAAAATCCCACCCCTGAGTATATATATTTAAAATGTACAGAAATGAGCCCTTCATCATGCTCCCCCCCCCAGGTAATTAATACTAATTATGAGCCAAAGTGTAGGAATGCCAGATGATAGACTTTCCCTAAAAGATTTGAAAGGACCGAAATATCAAAATTTCAAGCACAGAGACGGATATGATGAAGATGTTGCACAAAGATCAAGCTATAAAACAATTAAATCTCTTAAGATAAACCATGTACTTTAAAATTAATTTTAAAAAATGCTAAGGAGCAAGTCCCATTAAACACAAGCCATACTTTTAAGTAAACTCCAAAGGCTCTCTGCTCAGTCTTCACAGGATCTGTTATCCGTTATACCAAGGGTCTTCAAACTTGGCAAGTTTTAGATTTATGGACTTCAACTCCCTGAAGCTAACATGACTGGAGGAGGAATTCTGGGAGTTGAATTCCACAAGTCTTAAAGCTGTCAAGTTTGAAGACCCCTGTGTTACACTATAGTGTAAGGCATAAATACAGGAATACCATTTTTTTATCTATTCACAGAAACTCCACTCATAACTTCAGTAGACACCTTAACTATAAATTAATAATGGTTCAGCAGCTTAAATGTTGAGCAGAACCTGAGGCTGAATAACATAAAAGTAAAGTAATACATAAAGATAATACAAATATACATATAAGCAGGAGAGCAGCTAAAATGAACATTGCAACCTAGGGTTTTGTATGTGGTTTTTGTTTTTTCTTCTGATTTTCATCATTTAACATATTTAGCATCCTATTAGTGCCATCCTAGGCTTCAAAAGTTGAGATCTGGATGTTTAAATGTGGTTTCACATTTAACAAAGATTATCCATTTTATGACTGTTTCCAAAACAGGAAATGATGGCTCAATCTTTTGTCTGTATGATAACATATTAATTTTGATAAATAATGGGAGTGCAGATAATAGAATCTGATGGGAAAATGTCCAATATTGATAATATCACTTTCTGAAAGTGCATGTCTTGTTCAAATTACTACTTGATAAGAACAAGTTCAGGCATTTGTAATAATGCTTATTCATTTAATACCCCCCTACATACCAAATGCTGTTTTAGGCACTCTGCCAGTACGTTTGTAGTTTCATTTAACAGATGACGAAAGTACAAATGCAGGTGGCCCTACAACATCTTTTATGCAACAAATGTTTCCTAGACTGCACCATAGAAACCCCACTATTTTTTCATTCCAAATGCAGGGAAGCTTTTCGTTTATTTAATCTGTATTGCTGTAGGCTACACTGGAAATGTTCTTCAAATATTTAGGTCTCGCTTTTAATCCGTATCCACAAGTTGAGACTTAACATATACATCTTTATTTACCTTTCCTTTGTTTGGAGCCATAATCTTAATTTCATTATATCACTGTAAGAAAAAGTTTGGTAGAAGTAGAGATCTTTGGAAGATAACTCTTCTACTTATACTAAGTTACAGTTCTGGGAATTTACATAGAAGGCAAAAAAGGTCTCAAGAGTATTTTTCTTTGCATGGTTGTCCTGGTTTTAAGAAACTTGTAGATCTGTTCTGAGCCCAATACTTTTGGAAATACATTTGATGGGAAAGTGACAAGAGAACCTTTTCTAAACCTGATTCCAAAGGTTGGAATAACCCCCTAAGAAAGGAAGGCTACCTTCTTCTTTTTCTGTATTCTTCCTGACAGTCAAAATATTTTTATCCAGGCAGGTGGTTGATGTATAAGCTTGTTTAATTCTTTAATTATGTGGGTTTGTTTAGTGTTCTACCTTAGCACACAGCTGTCTTTCAAAAAAAAAACCTGCTTATTTGTTATCATTTATATTGAGATATAGTACACATTCGTTAGTACTTCCCCCTTCAGTGAGCTACCAATCAACTTAGACCATGATGGTTTTTTTAAATGGGTGTTTCTCTCTGGCCTCTGTTGTCTGTCTGCCTGATTGCAGCCTTCACCATATGTATGTAACAGCTGCCTAGATTTAAGCCAAAGCTCATGTAATTTTAAGGGAGACATTATCATTCCATTCACTGTATAGGATTTCCTTCCTACAGTAAATGGGCTTCCTGTTCACCCTTGTGTGATACTTAACGACCATGAAGAAGAATGACAAACGGCTCATGATTTTCATTCTTCAAATGTTTATCTGGGCATTCACACAAACTACTATTTTCCTTTCCTTTAAGTCTAGAGAGATGCTCTCTTAACCGAAACATTGTGGGGGAGGGCTGTGTTTTTTTTAATAGCAAACATTTTGGTTGTAGAATAGCTTTCCCCAACCTGGGTGCCCTTTATTTGTTTGAATTTCAACCCCCCAAATTCTGAGCGAATATGGCCATTGCTAAGAATTTTGGTAATTGAATTCTGATGCTTAAGTTGTGGAAGTCTGCTTTATATCATACCAAATGAGTTTCTGCACATGCTCAAAAACTCATATGCAAATTTAGAAATGACTGCCCAAAGTTGCAGATTAAACAACCTACTGTTTTCAATGTGTTGGTGGACTACTGGCCCATTGATATTTTTCATGGGTTTTTAATCTTCTTGTTAGCTGTGATTCATTATTCATTGGTTAGACTAGCAATTTAGTTTATATCTTTGCCAGGATAATGAGAGTGGAAAGCAAAAAAGGAATTGAACAATTTTAAAAAACGGCAGCATATGTTTTTATGATATGCAAAAGTCTGTATTCTTTGTACATATCATTTTGGTGATACATACTATTGGTAAGAAATACTACATAAATTTGGTTTGAGAATAGTGGATTAAAGATCAGAATCTTTTAAAATTTATACTTTGATATAAATCCCATTTAAAATCAGTGGACATTTACAATACAGAGCTAAGTAGTTTAATTATGAAATAATGAATTTAGATTACAGAAAATACTTCACGGTTCTGGCTTATGAAATTTCAGTACCAATTCCGACTGAGGAAGTATTGAATATATGGAAAGCAATTTAAAGGATTAAAAACGTCTGTTTAATCAATAATCAGTCTTTTTGATGTTAATACTGACTGCTTTCAAGCCAACAAATAACTTAAGGCTTTGCCATTTTGAAAAGTCAATTACTGCAAATATTCTTAATTTCTTTAGTGAAGGCGGTGTCTTCAAGGCTCATCTTACTTTCCCAAAAGACTATCCTCTCAGGCCGCCAAAAATGAAATTTATTACAGAAATATGGCATCCAAATGGTAAGATACTATGTCTTATAAAATGTTGTTTTCTGTCTTATATGTGGAATGAATGTGAACTACATTAGGAATCTCTGTGGGAAATTACTAGAAAAGAATGTCATATTTGGTCCAAAAGAATCTCGTCATTAAAATCAGGATGGACCAGATATGTTTTCCTGAAATAAAGACTGTAAAAGAAAGTGGGTGGCTTTTGTACACTATTTTCTCCTTAATGTCCACAAATCCCCTTAAAACGATCCCCTGAAAATTAGGAAATCCAACTGAGTTGCTGTCATTGTGGTGCTAGAGAAATTTAAAATGAATTTTTGAAATGTCAAGCCCAGTACATTGTTTTACTGTATTACATTGTACTCAATCTGTTGAAGTTAAGACTTGTGACCTTAGAAATGGTATTATAGTATTATAATAATTAACTCCATGGGCATATGGGTTTTGGTGGCTGCTGATCTGATCTAGCTGTGGTAAGGGCCAGCAGACCCATTGTTCCTTCCTGGTATAACATTGGGGACTAGAGCTCTGGGGGCAGGGGATACCCATCTCCTTAGTTACTGTGGGACATGCTGCCAGCTTAACCTAAATTGGAGAGAGATAGAAGGAAAGAAAAAGGTTGTACAAAATTTGAATAGAGTGGCCTTAGAGAAAAGTAGGAGAAGTTTGAAGAATGTTGTTCTTAGTTGGGAAGAGAAAAGAAAAGTCCAGAGGCGGTTTCCCTGGAAGAAGTGAAGTCAAGACCCAGAAGGATGGGAGCTCCACCCAAGAACAAAATGGAGGGAATTGGCTGACTATAGGAGGCAGCATCACCCACAACCCAAGAGGGAAAGTTTGAGGTTGGCTTTTGGCAAAGAAATCGTGGTTGCTGGGAAAGAACTAGACAAAAGATCTTGAGAGAGGCTCTTTCCTCAAGAGAGAAGCAGTAGGTGTTAGGCTGAGCAATTCCAGGTACAGGTAATACCACCTGAGCACATTATAATAAATTTTAGCCCTCTCTCTTGTCAAATCCATACATGAGAGAGAACGGGGGAGGGGGAGGAGGAGGCAAAAGAGATGGAGGGGGAAAGTCTCTTGGAGGAAGACTTGAGAGGAAACTGGGTATTGAGTTGTATATACCTGTTGTATAATGCCTGATGTAAAAAGCATAAAGGCCTTTGCTGTCACATTTTTGTCAGTTGCCACCCTTGCAAAACAATACCACCTCTAATTTAAAAAAAGAACTGTGTCACTCTGTGACACTCCATAATATTAGCATGATGGATTGAGGATCATGACTGAGAATTGGCTCATTGCTGATCTTAGTAGTTATCTGAAATATCTTTGCTGCTACACTATGCCTCTGAATGATTTTCCCCTTCTTTCTTTTCAGTTGACAAAAATGGTGATGTCTGTATTTCTATCCTTCATGAACCTGGTGAAGACAAGTATGGCTATGAGAAACCTGAAGAACGCTGGCTTCCCATTCATACAGTGGAAACCATAATGATTAGTGTAATTTCTATGCTGGCAGATCCCAATGGCGATTCTCCTGCTAATGTTGATGCAGCGGTATGACTCTTGTAAATAAAAATGTTCCTACAATTGCTAAAAGAAATTAGGAATTAGTTTGAGTCCTTGACTAACAGATTTATTCTGTAATAAATATTTTCTTAAGAGAAACAGGGCTTGAACTAAAAAAAAGTGTGTTTAATAGTGTTAACCTTCTGGCTTTGGGTGGCTTAGAAGAATAAAACACAAAACCCAATGTACCCCCATTCCCTGACAACAACATTCAAGCAAACCACTTGATGGGTTCCATGGGATCTTTTAAATATTTTGACCTTTTAAGGACCCTTATTGTTTGGTGCCAGATTCTCTGAGGGACTACCTCTCCTTGTTTACATTTACCTATTCCATCATGTCTAGCAGGAGAGGCATGTTGTGGGTCCTGTTGGCCAAAGTGTATTATTTGGTGAGGCCTGAGAAGAGAGCTTTTTCTGCTGTAGTACCCACCCTCCGGGATATTATTCCTCCTGAAGTGACATTGGCCCCCAACTCTATTAGCTTTCTAAAAGGGTCTTAAAACATGCTTCTGCTGTTACCTCTGTGGATCCCATAGAAGCATGGGCCCTGTGAAATGACTGTTGTATGCAAATTTGGAATGCTCTCTCTCTCTCCACCTCTTTTATAGTTTTTTTAACTTATTTAACTGTGTATTAATGGTTTGGTTTTGTTTTTCGTTTGATTTGTTCAGAATGGAATTGCAAATTATATTTACTATGAAGTTACTCAACAAGCTACAATTTAAATGTATGCTTAATTCATTGAATACATTAGTTGAAACAGCACATGCAACTTTTTTTTCTCTTAAACAATATAAAAATAATGGGTATTTTTCCCAAGGGGTTGGAGAGACAGTGCATGTTTTAAAGAGTTTTCAAAATCTGTACTTTAATTTACAGAAAGAATGGAGGGAAGATAGAAATGGAGAATTCAAAAGAAAAGTTGCCCGCTGTGTAAGAAAAAGCCAAGAAACTGCTTTTGAGTGACACTTAATTCAGTTAGTAGCTTCACTTTTTTCAGGGTAAGTAATTTAACTAGCAGAGAATTCCAGTTTTAACAGGAAATACTGCAAGGTAACAACATAAATATTACCTTTATATGCTGAGTGTTCCCCAGACGATAAAGAAAGATTGATCTCATACTTATATTGCAAATCTCTAGCCCATGAGGACCAGTACGTCACTTGATAGCTAAGCATGGGAAACAAGTGGCTTGTCAAAATCTATAGCTTAAGGTCACTCTGAGCATTTTGAAACTGTTCTCTTAAAAAAAAATTTCTTCTTGCCTTTCATTTGAAGTGAAAATAATTTGGAGCAGTGAGTCTCTTGGGCTGCATAACAGTGGATGGATCTTTATCCTACTAAATGTTTTCTACCTCTTCCGTTAAAAGCTTGATTTTCTACCCACATATACTACTATGGTAGAATTTACTAATAGTTGATACTACGTTATATATAAGTTTAGCTTGCTTTGATCTAGGAACCCCAGTTAAAATAGAATTTTAAAAAGAATTAAGATATTGTGTTTTTTTTTTAGAAAAAATCCAAACTACAAAAAATGTATATTAAAACATCTGACGATAATCCACCTTTGGTTTCATATTTGAGAGAAAAGTATGATATTGGAATGCTTGAGAATAAAATAAGAGCGTTGGTATTTTCAGAAGTTAAGTGGATGTGGAACTAGCCAATCTAATGGATTGGATCCCACTGTTATTCCATATAAAGCTGATTCTAATAGTACTTATACAAAATTATAATATTTAGTGTATTAACTTTTCCGTAGAAACATTTTTATCTAATATATCTCCAGTGTTGTAGAAGCTCATTTGCTTTATCTAATTCTCAGAGAATAGGTTACATTTTGTTTATGAGTGTCTTCATAGCAGAAGTTATAAGTGCTAATACTAATCTTGCAACTGATGTTTTTTTTTAAATCAAGATACTGGCACTTAAGTCTGAAAACTAAACATGCTAATTTAGATTTACGTGTGTGTGTATGTGTGTATGTGTATGTATTAATGGTATTTGGGAATGACCTTGGGAGATAGGATGAAGAGGTACAGCCTAGATAGTGCAAAAATTGTCTCAGCTCACAGAAGGAAAAGGAGCATGGGAAACCTCTCAGAAGGGACATTCCCCAGTTTTCTGGAAAGTAAAAGGAGGGGAGAAATTCTTTCAGGCTTGCAAGTTTCTGTTACTGTAATCTTACAATAAAGGTAATGTTAGTACTCATGGTTTGTGCTTCTTGTCTAGACTACCTCAAATACTGACAGTATGAGAACAAACTGTTCTTCAGTTGGGGGTTGTTGTTGGTTCTTTTTTTTTAACCCATCTCTCAATGTGATGGGTAAACTTCCTGCTTTACCTTATTTAAGGTACTTCTTCCAGATTACCTCAATAATTGAATTGGTTTAAGATTCTCCATTTGGTACAGATTATGGGACTTTTAATATCTTGTAACGTATGTGAGAGAACAGTTTCAACCATGGCAAAATTTTGAGCTCAGCGTACCAAATATTCAGAAAATGCCTAAATTGCCTCTGCTGTCATGTCAGACACACACACACACACACACCTTCCAAACGAAAGAAACAATTCTCTTATCTCCATCTGTTCTATGCCACCCTAAATGGCAGTGCTGAGGTTGGGCCTGAAGTAGAATCCCAGACCTCCACTTCAGCACTAGCACCATCACTACCACTCAGAAAGGCTGCCTTGCACTGTTGCCCAAGATGCGCAAGTCTTGGGGAATGGCATGATTGCCTCACAGCCCAGTGCTTCCCAGGATCTGCTGCACCTCACATACCTTGAAGTGGTGTTCTCTTTCTGCTGACTCGCCCCTATGGCCTACCTGAGGCTGCTGTAGGTCACACAAGGCCTTTGTTTTTAAAGTGGCTTTCACTAGTGCAATATTTCAGCTTTATTGCATGAATAGTCAAGTCAGTAAAAGTGCTTTTAATTGGGTGTTTTAAATGGAACTAGCCAATGGGCTTTAATAGCAGTGCAACACTATAATTTTACAAATTAGTAGTTAAAATTGCACATGCCCTAAATATTTAACTGCAAAGGGTGCTTAGTACATTAGAGGAGCCTAGAGGTAAATGAATTAGAACTTTGAACAATAGTTTAGTTGCTGATCATGGAAGTTAAGCATCTAATAAAAATACTCTGGAGATTCTCATATTAATATATGTTGGAAGTACTAAAGATATATGAAGATTCATATGAAATTTAAGGTACCATGGCTGATGGTTCTCTCTTCTTTTGTCTGTAGGTTTCCAATTGAGGAATATGGCACTGTTTTCCCTGCACTCTACCCATCTATTGCTGGACTTCTGTTTATACCAAGTTGGCAGACACTGGCAGGAACTGGGCTGCAATAAAACATGGCAGTTATTAATACTGACAAGGAGTCTAACAAGTGCCAACAAAGATTTGTGCATTTTGAAAACTAATGGAACTGCTTTAACCTTCAGGAAGAATTGTAAAGATGTGTACATAGCACAACATGATCCGGATAATATATATACTGTTCATGTACATCCACAAATACACATTGTACCAAATAATGCTGTCTTGTAGTTAGAATAAGAATCGTGTAAATTCTAAAGATTTTTAGCAGGTTCTTTTTTTCTCCACTCCAATTCATGGGGTTCTTTTCTTATGAGCCTTTTCTCAAATTTTCTCATGAAGCATGTTGGACTAAAACAAATTAGGATTAAAAAAATTCCATTTTAACTTTTCTTTTAAGCCATTAAAACTTCATTAAAAATTTCACTTTAATAAAAATTTAATACCTTTGTAATTTCCTTCCCCTCAACATTTTTTGGGAATACATTAATAAAACATTGAGATCTGTCATTTGATTCTAATGATGACTTGAACATTGTCATCAGGTGATGCATTTATTCCCCTCGTGTTTTTACCTAGTTGTGCTCATCTTTTGGCTTGGATGCAGCAATAAGATTTACAGCCATGAATTACGCTTGAGCCTACTAGTTGTTTCCAAAAGGGCTGAGAACATTTGCTTTGAAAGTGGTCAGCTATGTAAGTTAGCCCAATATAGGTTGAACCACTTTTTTATTTCTTGCCTGATTTGAAGTTGGATAAATAAAAGCATGCAGAGCTATAGGCTTCAAGTGAGTTCTGGTTTTGCTATCATATACTCTCCCCTATCTTACCTCTTCTTTTTCCTCTTTTTTGCATTCTGATCCCATGCAGATTTTCCTCACTTAATGTATAAAGAGAAATTGCAATGTATATTTTCATGTAACTTGATTTTGGAATTCTGTCACCTTATGTAGTGAGTTCTTCCAAAATATAAATTTTTCCAATAGTTCTGTGTCAAGTTGGCTATCTGCACTTTAAAAAATGAGAACACATTTTCAGAGAGCCTTAACAGATTTAGATTGCAAAATCTTGTCAATTAGCATTGACAAATCCTATGTATTCCATGCACTATATATACATGGACTGTTAATTGGGTCAGATACTTGTTATGAGAGTTTTGTGAACCCTATGTATACATTATATTATAGCCTTAACAACTGTACTAGATGATGAAGCATTATATTTGAGGAGGATAAAACTGGATGCTCTGATAGATTCCCCATCAATGAAGCAAAAATGGAAAAGTTCACATTTCCATGCAGCTTTTTAAAAATTTGCTCAAGAGTTCTAGGTGACTCTCTAAAGCAAATTAGCAAGATTAGGAAGATTAGAGATTCTTGTATGAGAGGATATATCCATATAATATGTTCCTTGGATTTTGCTACAAGTGATACAATAAATTAATGCCCATTTAGAAAAAAAAAGTCAATTACAGCCACCATGGGGAAACTGTCCAGGTGTTATTCCTCGCATTCTTCATTATCAGGCATGTTGATTGAGGGCTGCTGGAATACAGTATATAGTCTAGGTACCGATCCTCTGTCAACAGAAGAAGAAGTCAATTGTAATCTTTTAAGTTGTTGATGAGTAAATATCCTGATAAAAGATTGGGAGACGGGTGGAAGGAAAACCTCTGTCCATATTTAAAAAAAGGGTATGAACTCTATTAGAAACACAATCATTCCTACACTGTTTTATTTCCTGGTCTTGTCTGGCCTGCTTGTTAGAGTTTATGTACATTCATCTGTTAGCTTTTGCAGCAGCTCTCATTACTTGCTACTTCGGAGCAAGGACTGGAAGCAAATACCCCAGTTGGAATTCACATGGGAATTAAAGCAGAATTTGCCTGGGTACAGAAGCAGTAGGCTGAGTAATATAAAGAAGTACCAAATGATTCTATATCATAATTACTTTATTATATATACACTTGTTTAATCTCCATCTTTTCTACTAAGTACATAAGGAATAAACCATGCATTTTTGTATGGGGTAATTTCTAATTCTGTACATGTATTTTTCTGATAGAAGGAACATTCATATAGCAATTATCCTTAGTGGGAGGGTTTTTAATAGTAATTTTACCTTTTTATTGAATTGAATATGTCTGGGTAGATTCATCTGTAGTAAATCTAGCAATGGGTGCCAATAAAACAGTATCTAAACTCAAACTTCTTTAAAACAAGCAGTTGCCATCTTACTGCTTGTTTGATTATTACTTCAGATAAAAATAAAAGTAGTGGGTGGGAGGAAAAGACATTCTCCTGAGGGGAAAAAAGTAGTAGTTACCCATCACAAATGTCAAGAGACCATAACTGATATAATTGAAAGAAGCAACAATACAGTAGAAGACTGAAAGAGGGCTAGTAGTATTTCTTTAAAATATGGAATGTTTTACCCTTCTGTCTGCATGCCCAGGCAACCCAGATTATGTTGGCATATGAATTAGAAATGGTACTTCATAAATTCACTGTCTGATTAAAATATATATTTCTTGCTGCTTCTGAACTATTAGTACCTAGACATGGTAGCTTGGTTTAGACCAGGTGTGTCAAACTTGAGTCATCATAGTGGCATCACATGACATTGCGACTTTCCCCTGTTTGCTAAATTGTGTGGGCGTGGCCGGCGCATGACACATCCAGCCCATGGGCTGCGAGTTTGACAGCCCTGTTTTTGACAATTGATTAAGAACCAGACTTTTGCTAAGGATAGCTGGGAGTGGGGTATTGAAGGAGAGAAGAGATCCTTTGCCAACCAACTGACTATCATTTGTGTTCTTTTTCTTTAGTAAAATATGACGAGGGAATTTTATTATATCCTCCTGACCACTTCTTCCGTAATTAAAACAGGAAGAGAAATATCCCCAATTTGAATTGCATATTTCAGTAAAACAAAAGAAAGCAGATTGAAGTTAAATTTGTCCCACGTTAAGAGAGAGCTTCATTATGTTGCAGTCAAGCTGTTTTTGCTAGGTTTTCTTCCTAAGTTTCTCTGATCTTGTATCCCTCAGATGTTGTACTTGGAGGAAAGAGCAACAGGAAATCCCATGTAGACGAAGTGGGAAGCAATTGCACCAAGAGGAAATCGAATTCAACTCAGGAGATTTTACTGCTCACATTATACATATTCTTGTGTTCTAAGGAAGGCTGCGTAAATTCCTAGCTCCTGTTTTAAAGTACTACATTTTACTATTCAAAATCTATTATATTTGATTTTCCAGTGTTGATCAACTAATAGCAGACTCTTGATTTGTGAACTGTTTTCTCTGTTTTATGATTTGTTTTAAAAACAAATGCCTTAGAATAACGGTCCCCAACCTTTCTATCTGTGGAGACTGGCAACAGTGGCAGTGATAGCAGGGAGGAGGGGATGGCATGCACATTGCTTGCACAAATGTAGCTTCCTGCGTTGGCACGGCCTGGTTGCCAACAGGCTACAGACTGGTACTGGTCTGCGGACTGGCTGTTGGGGACCCCTGCCTTAGAATACAATTTTGAACTCGGATTATTGTAACCTACTAGGCATATTTTTTAAAACTGCACATAGATGCAAGAATCCTGCAGTGTTGCCTCAACCTTGAGTGAAGGTGGCATTCAGGCACCCACATTGGACAGCAGTGATATAGGAAGACGCTGGAGGTAGAGTTATCATTTTAGTGACAATGGTAAAGGCACCACATCATGCAGCACAAAAGGCAATGATAACCCAGTCCTGTATTTTATCAAGAAACTACGAAGACAGTATAAAGTGGCTGATGATGTAGTGATAGGCATTTCAGTTTGGATGTCATTCAATATGCTTTGTGGATGAGCTGATGATCTTTTGGAACACCAATGGTGTTTAAAACATAGCTACAGTAAACTAAACTTTTTATTTTTTAAGTATCAAAAAGACCAAAATTAGACACTTTTACTCAGAGTCATACTGCTTACTACTAAGGAACCGTTCTGATTTCATAATCCGTATACTGCAAGGATGATGCATGGATTATGCATTATACATGGATACAATGCAGTATAATGAGTAATGACAATTCCCACATAAATCTTTATGGACAATCCTTTAATATCATGATCATCCAAAATATATGTTCCAACCATTGATACAGAAGAAAAGACTGATCAGTTTATAGTCAAGTTTCATCTGAAATTTACATAACATACAAATAAGACATTGCCCTTCTATGAAAACTAGATGCAGGGCAGGAAGCTGCAGTGGATGGATTATGGCAAAACAGAGTTCAGGACAGTAAAAGAGTGAGCTTCAGGTTCTTTCATTTATTCCATTTATATGCTGAATATATTCAGGCAAACTGAACTGGAAAAAGGCGAGTTTGGTTTGAAAACTGGAGGAAGGAATATTAAATCATGTTATGCTATTACAATAGCTGAAAATGAAAATGATTTACAAGTTCTAGTTGTGAAAGTCAAGGAGCACAGTAAAAATTTATTACATATAAAGTTCAAACTCATGAAAATGGTATGATAAGCATCAATCGAGAAACAGTGCACAGACTAGCACTTTGTAGGGTAGCTGCGAAGGCCTTGGACAAAATATTCAGGTGTCAGGATGTGTCTTTACCTACAAAGATCAGAATCATGAAGGCAATGGGTTCCTCTGTAACATTTCATAGAAACATAAATTGGACTTTGAAGAAGCGGGATAGGAAGTATTGACACACAGATAAGCTAAGAAAACAAATAGAACACAGAAGAATCTGTTTTCATTAGAGCCATGAATGACCAGAATCAAATTGTATCCTGGACCTGTTATTTATTACCTAGTTCTCTTGCATTCTCTTGAGAAATCTGTGAGGCTGGGAAAGTGGAAGAAAGAAAAAAAAAAGGCAACAAGCAGCAAGACTTAATTATAGTAACAATGGGTGTATTGTTCAGGAAGACCCGAAGGACCAAACTGGGGGCCGATAATCCTGGGGGAAATATTATATAATGGGGATTGGTTAGAGTTGACACTGACTTCATGGCATGTACAAAAAATGGTGGAATGTCAAATTTGTTCAAGAGTCCTTTATTTGAGGAAAAGGATTTCTACATTCTCTACTTCGACAATCAAGAAATACTCCCTTATTCTACAGGCAATCCTCAATTTACTCCTGAAATGGGATCTACCCATTACAATTATAGATCATGGCTGTCTTAAAGCAGGTTATCACACGCCTGGACCCAATTTTACAATTTTTTTGAAGACCAGTTGTTAAGTACAAAAAACACATTGTTCGCTATTGAGCATTTTTGCCAAAAATCAGAAGTAAAGCTGGGTTTTGGTTAAAAATGAAAATCATGATCACATGATTCCAGGATGTTGCAAATGGCCATAAATGCGAGCCAGTTGCTGGGCATCTGAAATGCAATCACATGGCCATGG